GTAGAACATGGCTTTAGGCAGCCTTTCATACTACAGCTTCTCTGAAGCAGAAGGGCTTCCTTCCCCCTTCTCCCTGATGTGTACATGTGTGCTGTATGAATCTGATACATTCTCTTAACATTTCAGCATAGCTGACTCAAACTTTTTTTCTTAAATTCAAAGCATTAAAACCCTGTAGTAGAATCACACTCTATTCAATATTTTCTCTATATTTCAATGACACAACAGGTTCTGCATAATCTATCTCATATTTACCAATAACTCTGTATTTCAGAATCCTGACTCTACGACAGAAGAACATTTCTAAGATGCAAATACTAGCTATAGGTCATGTTGTATTTGTCTGAGAAAGTATTATCTATTCCTCCCTGTATTAAAAGTAGCAAGAGTGTAAGAGATATACTTAAAATTAAATTACTAGATAACTTGAAAAGTATGGTGCTAAATTACTTATAATTTAGGAATTTTCAGTTAACAAATTCACTTAACAAATGTGTTCACAAATGTTCGTTGTGGTTGCCACCTAGTGGTTAAACTGTATATTCATTTATGATGAGATGCAAAGTATCGATATGTATACCTATAATTTACAGTAAGAAAATACTAGAAATATTTATTTAGCTTTAATGAACTTCTTTAACTTCAGTAATATGATTCCTATTAGCATTATTGAACAGTAGATATGTGTTCCCACTGAAAGCAGTTTTTTCCAAGTACATGTGGAATAGCTAACAAAGAAACATTTGTTATATTAAGTCTGTCTATTTAAAGAGAAAATTACTTGTTGAAATAAAGAAGTTGATAATATTTAGAAAAACTAAGAAAGCAAATCTCAAACAAGTATTGGGAGGGTAGTGTTTTATAGCAGGGAGTTATTCCTTTAAATAAGTGTGAAGTACTCTAGTTATACAAAGTTTAAGCATGACTTCCCCCCACTATAGAACAAATCAGAATCCTAGTAACAATTTCAAAGTGTAAAGGGAAGAGGATATAATATGCTCGTTTCTCACAGAGAATTTGATCATGTTTTATCTTTCATTTCTCCTAACAGCTCTTAATAATACATATTTATAGCAAAATAATTTGACCACATAGGGTTTTCTTAGAACTATATCTCTATATTGAATAGGCCCATAATCAAGTTTGTAACTTTTCTTCTGATTCATTGATTCACAAATTTTACTGCATGAGGTATTTTTATGTGGAAATCACATATCACGAGAATTAATCAACTAATTGAAATAAAAATTATTCATAAGGTGTGTTCTTCACTTTCAGTATTGGATTTCCCACTTAACTCCAACTTAACTTTATTTCTAGTTACTATTATATTTTTCACTTGTCTTTTTTTCTTTTAGTCTCTATCAAGAACTTTGTGTTCTCTAGCCTTCAAAATTTGTGTTCCTCAGAGTTATCTTGCTCTACTCCCATGTCTTGCCTTGCTCTGTTTCCCTCTCACTTCCTCTATCCTTTTACTTTTCTCTTAAGTAATACCCATGCTCTCATTTCTCATTAACCACTTACAAATCTCTAAGCTCCCCATAACATCTCTTGAGCTCTATTCTTTCATGTCCAACTGCTTATAGACTGCTTTCCCTGGGGACTCTAGGTCTAAAGCCTAGTATTCCTCAGTACAACTTTAGGACCCTACTTCTGAACACATATAATCCTCTCATTCATCCCCTGCTATGAAGGCTTACAAGAATACAAATCAGAAATTAGAGCGCTTTTCTTGTATCCAGTATATCTCCAAGACAATACTATTTCTCAAATGTTAGTTATTATTTCTTCATTTTCTATTCCTTTTCTCTCAAACAGCTTTATTGCTTCTATCTTAATTTTTGCAAGTAGTTGTTCCCTAATATAACCTTCTTATTCATAAAGTTTCTAGATGTGAACTAATCATTCCATTCTCCATTATATCTGTCTATATAAAGGTCAAATTGTTAGCACAAAGTATACGTTTTTCATAATCTTCTTTCCTTCCACACCTTCCTTTCTTGCTTTGTGTGTTAAAGCTTCATACCTGACCTTGACTTCTACACTATAGAACCTCCATTGTGCCACTGTTCTTTGTGTGCATTCTTGCTGCCAAACTTCTGCCCATTGTACTCACTGGGTTTAATGTTACACCAGAGATAGCTCTTCTGCCTCTCTTAATGGCTCCTCCTGACTAATCCTGCAGCACATTACTACCTATGGTAACACCAATTACTTTTTTATAATAATTCATGTTGGTTATGACTCTGTATCCTTCACAAAACCAAATGCCCATGAAAAACAAGTATGCCTGTATACAGTTTTCACTTCTAGCAGCAAAGATAGCTGCTAGAATAGGCTCTTTGAAATTGGAATATTTTCTAGATAAAGTAATGCTTGATTTATCTCATAGTCTTGTTTTCAGGATGTAGTAGGAGATATAGTTCCACAATCGATGACTTTCATGAGGGCAGTTTTTATGATAACCAATGTGTCCCAGGCTTCATCAGCCTCAGTCACACTTTTCTTGAATGCTAAAATCTCCAAAAATCTGAGCTTCTGTCCAATATATCTTACAGAAAATGTCAACTTTGTTTTACCTCTAACTCAAAAGAATGTCTGGATTTTTAGGCAATATCCAAACCAAAACTTGTATACCAGCATCACAACAATATTATGCATAATAGTTACCAAATAGAAATAACCCAAATTTTCATCAGTTGATCATTAGATTCATAAAGTATAATATATTCACAGAGTAGAGTATTATTCATCCATACAAGGGAATGAAATACTAATACATGTTACATCATGGGTGGACTTTGGAAACATTATACTAAGTGAAATAATCAAACATAAGGGCTACATGATATATAATTTCCTTTATGTGAGATATCCAGATGAGGTGTCTCTATAGAGACAGGGATCTCCAGGGCCTGCATGCAGGGAGTAGAAGCAGATGGGGAATATTTGCTAATATTATGGGTTGATTAAACAGTTCTGGAATTGAATAGCAGCATTGTCATCTTCATGTAATAAGTCATGGTTAATTCCAGTGTATTAGAGTGTTAATAATGTATAATATTTTCATTTGCTTTCAACACAGGACCACCTGGATCTATTGCCCCTCCACATGCAGGCTACCCAGGAAGCATGCCTGTTGGATACTACACTCCACAGCAGTCCAGTGCCTTCCCCTTGTACCAGCCAACCGGTAGTAACTTTCCAGTCCAGTACCAGCCTGGAAGATATCCTATGGCCAGTCAGTCTGCTCCAGTAGTATGGATGCCAGGCCCAACTCCTATGCCAAACTGTCCTCCTGGTCTGGAATACTTAGCCCAGGTACACAGATCCAGGGATATTTTTCTAATGACGTATGGCTGGGGATCAGACGTGAAGAAACAAAAAACTAGATAAGTAAACTACGGATAATGCATTAGGCCAAATTCCTTAGAACCCCTTTCCACAATGTGAGATTACTCTCTAATTTGCATCTATTCAGACATTCTGGAGTTAACAGGACAGGAAGGTCACAAACTGGCCAGAATGTCAAGATAGTATACCATGTGGTATTATTTAAAAACTCATGTATGGAACTCAAAAATATTTTGAATGAAAATAAAAATAGCTAGTATTAAAGATCTGGTAGAAATACTGAATCATGATTCACTTTTAGGAAATGAAGTACTGAAATGCATTAAAGGCAAAGAGTTTGTCAACTTAATACATGTCTCCCCACATAGTGAACCGAATATTCCTTGTAGTTGACATTATTTCTCTTTTCAGTTTTATCTATTAACCTGTTAACCATGTACAGTGAAAACCATTGGTACTTGCAGTATTGTAGAGGAATATGGGAACTTTGGTAGTAAGTATAGTGTGGTGACTTAATATCTGAAGGGGGGGTGAACATAGCTCCCTAAATCATACACAGTGCCACAAAACAATGTTCCACAATAAAATACAATGTAATTAAAAAATGCACATAGCCAAATATGTGTGAACCCATATCCTTTCCTAAAAAAAAATCATAAAATATCATCATGTTGATCTTTGTATGTCAATATAATTGGATCAGTAAAATTGGAGTTTATATAAACCAAGGATTGAAATTTTGGGGCTTCCCTGGTGGCCTAGACCTCTAAGTCTCAATTCTATTACCGCTTAGGCTTGAATTTGATCCCCAGTCAGGGAGCTGACATACATATGGTGCAGCAGACCTCTTCTGTCTCTCCTGCTGCTCCCCTCAGCAGTGCATTTAAGTAAATCTGCCTGTTCTGCTCCCTACTCTGTCTCTGGTGAGTCCTCTGCCCCCCTGCTCCTCTAGCTTATACCCCGGTTCTTATATGTATGTATGTATGTGTGCATGTATTAAGTATGTAGAAATAAATCTTTAAAAAAAATTAATTTTGGTTAAATTGACAAAACTGAAAGCCAGTTATTCAGGTAGAGCTCAAGAACAAACTCTTACATTTTTAGAGAGACTTACAAAATTTCTTTAGTTGATAATGTTTAGAAAGTCACTTTTTTATATTTGATAAATTCAGAAATTGTCATTTCTTTTAAACATGTGTACCATCAATATTGTTTTTCAAAAAACTTTAGCATTAAAAAATTACATAATTTATTCTATTACTCTGATAGAGTTTAAGTTAACAGATTTTATTAATTCTCCTGTCTATTTCAGGAATGGTTTGAGTTAAAAAATAAAGGAGAAAAGAAACAGAGTTAGAGCCAGAAAAAAAAAAAAACTTAATTTTTTTTTTTTTAAAGATTTATTTATTTGTGTATACAGAACTGGGGTACAGGCCAGAGGCTCAGGGGCAGTGAGAGGCTTCACCAGAGACAGAGTGGGGAGCAGAACAGGCAGATTGATGAAGTACACTGCTGAGGGGAGCAGCGGGCGGGTCAGGAGAGGTCTGCCACGCCATGTGGCCACCTCCTGGGCAGGCGGGAATCGAACTCACGCGGAAGCGGCTTTAGCTTTTCAGTGCTGTGCTTTAACCCACTGCGCCACCAGGGAGGGCCAAAAAAAACTTAATTTTTAATTTTAGTTCTACTCCCTCTTTATTCTACATCTTGAGAAAAATTCCTAACTTTACAAGGCATGAATTTCATTATGTAAAATGCATATCTACCATTATTATCTACCTATAATCAATAGCTGTACATTCCATTATACTATACAATAGTGCTATTGATGCCTACTTTGTAGGTTGTTACAAGAAAATTTTAATGATACATTTTATAATGTGCTGACTACTTTGGCACACAGGTGATATATCCCTAGAGGGTGATGGCTGTGTGGGTGTTACTTGAAATACCTTGTATGGGTAGGAAGGCACAGAGTCAATCATTTTATTTCTGTAGTTTTTTACTCTCATGTACACATGAATTTTCATGAAGATTGTCAAGACACTTTAGCATCCAAAGTGATAGCATATTTTAAAATATTGGCTTGGCTTGCAGCTTTATAATTTGTTAGAAAACTATTCCTTAACAGTCACAATACACATTAAGCAAACTCTTCAACATTAAAAAGCATCATTTCTTTAGACCATCTTTCTCAGTAATAGACACTCTTAACAAAGAAGCAAATATTTTTACTTTTAAAGGAATTATAAATTGCTTAATTGCTGGCTACTTAGAAGATTTTATAAAATGTGTTTAGACTCTCTGACTTGATTGTGTTATCTTATGTAATGATTTAATCAAAGAAAAGTTGTATATTCTCTATAACCATATTGCAAAACATGTATGCTATTTTAATTTTTTTGTTTCCACATCATATGTTTTTATTAATTAACATACTCAACCAATATTTAGTGAAATACAGCATTTTAGACAGTGTAGGCTGTGATTTAATGATCCACATATTTAGGAAGTATCCCGTCATAAATAGGGATTCAGGAATCAGTATTATCTAAAATCACAGTTTATATAATATTATCCCCAATCTTGCTTTTAAAGAACCCTCTGCCAGAATGTTTCATCTCTTTGCCATAGTCATGTGCACACACATTCAGGCCCTACGAACCTGCTCTTATTCAGGTGTACACCAAGGGAAAATCTTGGTATTTAGTAGATAATTGATTAGAAATCAATTTTTTCTTAGAAGTACCTGAGAAATAACTACAAGTTGGACACCCCTTTCTGAAATCCATGCTGGCCGATTTACTCTTCCTGAAGTCCTGAGAAAATAGCTTTCTCTATGACTATTAAACTGACGGGAACTTGCTGAGCAACTCCTGTCTTTGGACATGTCAAGAGGAACAGTGAGGAGGGGGGACTCTCCCTGGTGGCGCAACAGGTTAAAGCTCAGTATTGCAAAGATAGCAACAGCTACTTCAGTGTGAGTTCAATCCCCAATGAGGGAGGTGACCCACATGGTGCAGCAGACCTCTCCTGTCTTTACCCACTGCTCTCCTCAGCAGTGTACGTTGTCACTCAGCCTGCTTTGCTCCCCACTCCATTTCTGGCGAGTCCTCTTACTGCACCTCCATGTCTGGCCTATATCCCAAATCTGTATGAATAAATAAATCTGTATGAATTATAAAAAAAGAGAGAACAGTGAGTGGGAAATGAGGTAAGAATAATCAGTGTCAACACAGCTTCTTCTAGATGCCTTTTTTTATTATTTTTTAAGATTTATTTATTTGTGCATACAGAACTGGGGTACAGGCCAGAGACTCAGGGGTAGCGAAAGACTTTGCCAGAGACAGAGTGGGGAGCAGAACAGGCAGATCTATGAAGTACACGGCTGAGGGGAGCAGCAGGCAGGTCAGGAAAGGTCTGCCGCACCATGTGGTCGCCTCCGGGGCAGGCGGGGATAGAACTCATGCGGAAGTGGCTTTAGCTTCTTAGTGTGATGCTTTAACCCGCTGCGCCACCAGGGAGTGCCATCTTCTGGATGCTTTTATTGTGTTTATGTAGCAAGAAGATACTTTTCTAATATTTTAAACAAATATTTTGAACTTTTTAGTGGAATTAGAGGAAAGTGGTATTCTATTGGACACTGCTAAGAAACATCTGGTTGGATATGGTTAGGCTAATTTCAGTTGGTAATTTGTTTTATTTCATTCAATTCCAAAAATATATTTTGGTATCAATAACTGTATTTTAATTCCTGTCTCATCTGTTAATTTTGTAGTACTGATTTGATTCTGTCATTTCAAATTACTTTGTTTTATTCCAACAGTTGGACAACATACACGTTCTTCAGCATTTTGAACCTCTGGAAAGTATGTATAATTTTGTAGTGTTCAGCTTTACTTGAACCAGGTGAAAATTTGCACTATCCATTATCTAGCTCCTAATATTTATCATTTGTTAAGAAAAAAAGAAAAGGAATTATTGTGTGCAATTTAATCATTTTTTTATGACCTGTAAACTCTTAGATTTGAAAAGGGTTGTATGTTATCTGATCAACCACAAACCTTTACACATTCCAGCTCCTCTGTGTTCACCTCTCATGAATGGAATAAAGAAGGAACCAAAAGACTATATGAGCTAGCTAGAAACACCCAGAGTCGGATAAGTGGAAGTAGAACATAACCTCTAATCCGTTGAATTCTAGTCAATGCCCTTGCTTTGGAAGTGAGATGTCACAGTACCAAATGCTGGATGCTGCTCATCCTCATAATTCACTGACCACTGCTCACTAGATCAGCACATTCCTTACTGCCACTGAGTGCCTTTCACTTTTCTTGCTTCATTTTCTTATTTGCCATTAGCAATGACCCAAATCACCTCATCACATATCCTGAGCTGATTAATATATGATACAATATTTAACTTACTTAAATTATTTAATAATTAAAGTTATTTAATTCAAGAGCTACAGAAATGTAATTTCATTCCTTTATATGTGGAAGTTTTTAAATCATTTACACTGAATTGCTTAAAAATATTTTATATTCTTGAAATCATTTCAATACACCTTTGGCACATGAACTAGTTTGGTGTTTTAATCAGTTGTATACATTTCAACTGAATGTTCATTAAACTATTTTTCTTTACATCCTTAAGACATAATACAATATGTGTTTCTTGAGGCCTTGTTTAACTACTTCTAATTTAAAATGGCTCCTTGTTTGATTTTTTTTAGTGGTCACAGGTTTTGAAACTAATAATAGATATGATGTCAAGAACAATGTGAACCAGATGGTTTACTTTGTAACTGAAGACACAGATGACTTCACCAGGAACACTTACCGGACGCTAAGGCCCTTTGTCCTCCGGGTCACTGACTGTATGGGCCGAGAAGTCATGACAATGCAGAGACCTTTCCGATGCACCTGCTGCTGCTTCTGTTGTCCTTCCGCCAGGCAAGAGGTCAGAGAACAGGAATCTCATCCATTGTCATTTCTTCACTTATCTCCTCAGGGCATAGTTGTGCTCTTTACAAAGCTGCATAGAAGGACATTTTCACTGACTGCCATTCAAAATGAAAGATAATAGGGAGAAGGCAGGTAGCCAAGATGTTTCACCTAAGCAAAATCATGAGGGGCTTTTTCATGTTGCTCCAAATATCAGTGATAATTGGTGGGTCAAACGCACGTTAAAAGTTATTTACTCAATAATCAGAATCCTGTTGTCAGTTGTATGTTCTGTACTAAAATGTACCTGTTGCCTGGAATAGGTATGCCAAGTCATGCATACCTAGATATCTCCATCTAGATATTACTGAGCATAAACATGGTTCTAAAATTACAATAGATGAGATAAATTTACACTAGTCATCACAACCTACAGATTTCTACTTTCAGGAAAGGTGGGCGAAATACTGTCTCTAATGATCTTAGTAACTATTATTTACTAAAAGGCATTCATAGAACTAGAAAGCAGATGATGTACTGAATTACTGTTTGGTTATACTTCTACAGTCTATGCAGCTCTAGGAAGACATCAAGGGAAAAGGAAAGCTCTGTTAGAGAGAAATTCAAGAATATTTGAATTTCAGATATACCACCTACTTAAATTTGTATAAATTACTTAACCTCTTTGAGCCTTAAATGTTCTTACACATGAAGTAGATAGAAACATATCCTGTAGGATCACTGGGATATTTACATGTTATGTTAATTACCAACATTTACAACAACAATTTATTTACAACCCTTAGTACCTGTCTCTTAGGTTTACTGCTTTGAGGGTTAAGAAGTAAGTAGGTGTCAGCTACTTAGTACAGTACTTGGAAAACACTATATTGGTTAATGAATGTTAGCAGTTGTTATCATATATCTCATTCATCTGTCATTCTTGCCATTGTAAAAGTATTATACATTGTAAAAGTATTATATTATATGAATCTTTACCTCAAATTCTTAGTGATTTTTGAATGAAAACTATCCGAAAACAGGAAGCAAGGACAAACTACAACAAATCATAATCTTAGTCCAATGTATGGAAATTTTTACCATTTATCTAGATTTCTTCTTTATTTCTCCAGTTTTATATGCTCCACCTATTTGATTTTGTTATTTCAAAATTGGTATATAAACAGAATTGTATAGTATAAAACTGCCTAGGGCTGGCCTTTTTCACTCAGTATAATTACCTTTACATTCCTAAAAGTTGTTACAGTAATCAACATCCATTCCCTTACTAAAGTATGAATTATTCTAAGTAATTTATTTTTATACATTTTTGATTCTTTTTCTCTTCATCTCTTTTTTCTATTTTATCTCAGTCCTAGGATTCTGTCATGTGTGCGTGTGTATGTGTGTGTGTGTGTGTGTGTGTGTGTGTGTGTGTGTGTGTGTGTATGAGCAATGATATCTTGATTTGACAATTCATTAGCCCTATCCCACATGGAAACCCAGGGCACTCAAATTTTTAGAAAAATAATTATGACACAAAAGTAATTGTCAGAACTTTCACTTTGAGCTTTTGCCACATTATTTTATAAATCTCTTGCTTGTATTAAATATAGTTATAATTCTTCACCAAGGAATATTGCAGTGATAACTAGCAAAAAGGGTAATAGTTTCGAGCTCTTGAAACTTTTATTTTATTTTTTAAAGATTTATTTATTTATGCATATAGCACTGGGGTACAGGCCAGAGTGCAGGGGTGGTGAGAGGACTTACCAGACACAGCATGGGAAGCAGAACAGGCAGTTGATGAAGTGCACTGCTGAGGGGAGCAGCGGGCAAAACAGGCGAGGTCTGCCGCGCCATGTGGGTCACCTCCGGGGCAGGAGGTCAAACTAGCACCAAAGTTGCAGCCAGCTTCACGGTGCTGTGCTTTAATCCATTGTGCCACCTGAAAGGGCCCTTAAAAATTACTTATAGGGACCTCCATGGTGGCACAACGGGTTAAAGCACAGCACTGAGAAGCTAAAGGCACTTCCGCATGAGTTCGATCCCCACCTGCCCCAGAGTTGACCACATGGCGCGGCAGACCTCTCCTGACCCGCCCGCTGCTCCCCTCAGCAGTGTACTTCGTCGATCTGCCTGTTCTGCTCCCCACTCTGTCTCTGGTGAAGCCTCTCACCACCCCTGAGCCTCTGGCCTGTACCCCAGTTCTGTATGCACAAATAAATAAATCTTAAAAAATATACTTTTAGACATAAACTCACATTCTGTTGTTTTTCAAAATACAGTATTCCAAATGAGTCTTTTTGTCTTTGTTTGCTTTTATAGTGACACATCTCAGCTTGAAATGTTTCATTGGTGGCACCAGGAGAAGTGAGACTCCTAGATCATAGACAAAAACCTTTTTTTATATCATGAGCATCAGATGTTTGTGGAGGCGCCTTTTCCTTTAAGTTGGGCAGAGTCCAGAAGGAGCCCAGGCAGGTGCCGCATGCGCCGCTGATGATCTGGTTTTAAGTCACCTTTTCATGTTGAAAAAGTAGTATGAAGAAAATGAAATAATAGCTTGAGAATAAATGATTTTTAACATCCTATTTAGTGACTTGCCTGTTGTTTTCCAAAACATGAGCTCCTTTTTAATGACTTGAGTGTTTTATAAAGATAAGGAGAAACACAAAGCTTTAACCCTGGGAGGACTGGCCATTTATAGTAAGCAATAACTTTGTTATAAGCTAATTGTGACCTCTGCCCTTAAATGTATTCATGAAGATACGTGAGCATGAAATAGTCCCAGTAAAACTTTCCCAGTACTATTCCTAGCCCCTTAGTGAATAGGCCGCCTCCAGGTGGAGTGCGCACAGAAATGTCTGTTGCATCCTTACCTCTATCACTATCACTGCTTCCTCTGCAGCTGGAGGTGCAGTGTCCCCCTGGCGTCACCATGGGCTTTGTTGGGGAACACTGGAACCTGTGCAGGGCTGTTTACAGTCTCCAGAATGAGAAGAAAGAGAATGTGTTGAGAGTGCATGGACCATGCTTGACCTATGGCTGCGGTTCGGATTCTGTTTTTGAGGTAAGCAAATGTAAAAGTCGTGTTTCTACTATCTGTCCTATAGGTACTAACAGGCCGCAGAATGATGTGGTTTTTAATCATCTTTTCGTGTTGAAAAAGAAATATGAAAAAGGTTAAATAGTAGCTTGAGAGTACATGATTTTCAACTTACTGTTTAGTGACTTGCTTGTTTTCTGAAATATGGATTCCTTTTTAATGATTTGAGTATTTTATAAAGATAAGGAGCAGCATAAAACATTAAACCTGAGAGTAAACAGCCTGACCTAAACTATCTATTTTTCTCTTATTATATTTAATAACCAATTTTTTCAGAAATTTCTAAGATCGGCATGTAGATCATGAGCAGCATCCTATTACGGAGCATAGTGATTGCACTGGTTACTAACAAAAGGTACAATATTTTTAAATTTATTTATTTGTTCATACAGAGCTGGGGTACAGGCCAGAGGCTCAGG